AAAAAAAATAATAATAAAAATGTTTTGTTTTTTTTGTTTTGTTTTTTTTTTTTATAAATAAAAAAAAAATGAGCATATTAAAAAAAAATTTATAATAAACAATGAAAGGGTAATTCAAGATAAAGCTTATGTCCTACGTGCAATATTCGTTAAGATGTTCTGGAAATCTTACTCGTCTTCCAGAACGCGTTGTTTTAGGTTTTTCTATCAACGTTGACGAAGTATCAAGTTGTGTGTCGGTTGTCGTGTAGGGTACTACGAGTGTAGTAGCTGTGTCGTTTGCTTGCACCGAAGGAAAATCGACGTAGCTAGGGTTTCCTTCTAGGTACGCAGCTTTGAGTCGATCGATACTGATGCTATCTTTCGTACCGTTCTTGTCGACTACATAGTACTTAGGTTCGCGTTGAAGAACTTTGAAGGGTCCTTCGTATGCTGATTCGAGGGGTCGTCGATGTGAGTCTCGACGAACGAAGACGTGTGTACTATGTCGTAGTTCGGGTTGAACGAAAACATCAGTTGATTGAGGTCGAGTGTGAGCAGGTTTAACTGAACGCATGGCGTTTGTAAGCCTACTCGTGTAAGAGTTTAGATCCATGTTCAATGAAGAAGCTGAAGGATCCACGAATTCTCCTGGGAGTCGGAGTGTCGTTCCGTAAACGAGTTGAGATGCCGTGTATCCAATGTCAGCTTTCACTGCATTGCGGATACCTAGCAAGACGAGTGGAAGAGCGTCTGTCCACTGTGAAACGTTTGAAGCTGATAATGAAGCTTTTAATTGTCGATGAAAACGTTCTACCAACCCGTTTGCTTGTGGGTGGTAGGCGGTCGTTCGGAAGCGCGTGATTCCTAAAAGTGTGGTCAGACAACGGAAAAGTCCAGATTCGAACTGGCGTCCGCGGTCTGTAGTGATGGTTGAAGGGCAGCCGAAATTTGCTACCCATCGTTCGACGAAAGTGCGAGCCACTGTTTCAGCAGTAATGTCCTTAATCGGTACTGCTTCTGGCCATCGAGTAAAACGGTCTACGCATGTTAGGAGATATGAGTATCCGTTTGAGTCGGGTAAGGGTCCTACCAAATCTAGATGGACGTGGTCGAAACGAGCGTCAGGGGTTTTGAAAGAACCTAAGGGACATTTGTTGTGTCTGATTACCTTAGATTTCTGACAGCTTACACAGGAGCGTGACCACTCCCTCACGTCTTTATTCATGCCAGGCCAACAAAAGCGTTCGGCTATAAGTTCGATTGTTGCACGAGCACCTGGATGAGAAAGATTGTGCAACGTATTGAAGACGTTGCGGCGATAGTGTTTTGGTACAATTGGACGATCCCTACCTGTAGATGTGTCACAGAGTAAGGTTTCCTTACCTGTTCCCATCTGCCTAATACTTAGTTTAAGAGTTGTCGAGGATAACTCATGCTGAAGATCAATGTCTTCTTTTTGAAGCTGAGCGAGTTTAAGAAGGTCGATTCCTTGGAAACTGTTCAAGGAGCTAATTCGAGACAAGGCGTCTGCGACTACATTGTTTGCTCCAGAAATATGTTGTATGTCTGAAGTAAACTGCGAAATGTAGTCGAGTTGTCGAGACTCTCTTGGTGAGTACTTGTCTGAAGATGAACTTAAAGAGAAGGTAAGAGGTTTGTGATCGGTAAAGAGCGTGAATTCTCTTCCTTCGATGGAATGTTGAAAATGCCGTACAGCACAATACATAGCTAGGAGTTCCCTACCGAACGTGCTGTACCTAGATTCAGCGTCTAGCAACCGTCTCGAGAAAAATCCTAAAGGTTGCCACGAGTTGTTAACCCATTGTTGTAAGACTGCTCCGATTGCTGAGTCGGATGCGTCTACGGCGATACTAATGGGCGCTTGACTGTCCTGATGAGCAAGCAAGGTTGCTTTAGCGATGTGTTCCTTAACTGTGGAAAATGCTTTACGGGCTGTGTCGTCTAAACTAATTGATTTCGCATTTCCACGAAGCTGATCGGTCAACGGTTTCATTAGGGATGCGCATTTAGGTATGAACCGTCTATAGAAACTTACGAGTCCGTTAAAAGTTCGCAACTGCTTGATCGTGGTCGGTTCTGGGTAATCCAGAATGGCCGCCACTTTGCTCCTAAGGGGTCGGATGCCTTGGGCATCAATGGTGTGTCCTAAGAAGTCTAAGCAGTTAGTTCCGATTTGGCATTTCTGAATGTTGACAGTAATGCCATGCCTTTGAAGTCGATCGAAAACAATGTCCAGATGCTTGAGATGCGATTCTCTGTCCGGACTTGCTATTAGACAGTCATCAACATACGCATGTACGAAGTTGAGACCTCGGAAGACGTCGTCTATAAACCTTTGGAAGGTTTGAGCCGCGTTTCTTAAACCAAAAGGCATTCGTAGAAATTCGTAAAGACCGAAGGGAGTGATGATGGCGGTTTTAGGAATGTCGTCAGTTGCCATCGGGATTTGGTTATAAGCTTTAACCAAGTCGATTTTCGAAAAGACAGTTGTACCTTTCAAGGTAGCTGTCAAATCGTGAATATGAGGCAGCGGGTAACGATCGGGAATGGTTTTAGCATTCAGACGCCGATAATCACCAGTTGGCCGCCAATCATTGCTGTCCTTTTTAGGGACCATATGCAATGGGGATGCCCATGGACTATTCGATGGTCGAATTATTCCTAGGTCCATCATGTGGTTGAATTCGTTTTTAGCTAACCTAAGCTTTTCGGGAGCGAGTCTTCGGGCTTTCGAAAATACAGGTGGTCCTGTAGTCGAGATGTGATGTGTAACATTGCTGGTTACACAAGGTAATTTCGATTGCGATTGGTATATCCCAGGGTATTTGTCGAGTACTGCTTGGTACAAGGGGTCTATGGCGTGCTTAATCGTGACTGGGGATAACCTGCAACCAGAACAAGGAGTTACGCAAACGGACAACTTAGTGTTTCCGTCTATTAACCTTCGTGCGCGTGTGTCGATTAGTAGATTGTGGTGTTGTAACAGGTCAATACCAATGATTGGCATAGAGACATCTGCAACCACGAAAATCCAGTGTATGGGTTTACGTAAACCCACGTTAAGGTAGACGTACCTTTTACCGTAAGTAGCGATCGGTTTTCCGTTTGCCGCCTGTAAACTTAAAACAGACTCGCGAAGTCTGTCGTCGAGATTTGCTGGAAGAACGCTAACTTCTGCGCCAGTGTCGACGAGGTAGCGAACTTTCGTAGTCACATCCGTGACATATAAGAGGCGGCTGTGTTCGCCGGCTACGGTTGCCGTTAACGCGTGCCGGCTGGGAAGTTTCCCGAACTGTTATTCGTGTCAGTCGATTTTGAAGTCGGATAATTGCAAGGTTTCCTGCAATTTTTGGAAAACTTACCGTACTGGTTATGATACCAGCACCAGTCGGGATTATCTGTCTCTCGTGGTCGAGAGCCAGATCGCTTACGTGAAACGCTTCTACGCGGGGATTTTAACCGACTACGGTCATTGCGAACTCTAAGATATCGTGTGAGCGTGTGACATAGTTCGGCCATGTCAGTCGAGGTCGATTGGGGTTTTTCTTTGACGGAAAAAACCTCGGCCTTAGAAGATCTAGTGATTTCCAAGATTCGATCGGCAGATGCAGCTAGTTCATCTATGGCATTGTTTTGAAATGAAACAAGCACTGCCTGCACCTGTTGAGGGAGTTTAGACAAAAAAAGTTGTCTAAATAGGCCATCATCGAAAGTTCGTTGGCCGATGACTTCTCTCATTCTAAGCAACATGTCCGTCGCAGAACCATGTTGCAAGTCGATATTGTTAAGGAGTTGGTCTAACCGTTGTCGATCAGTTAGATCTCCTCGTTTTAAAATCGATAGCTTAAGCGATTCGTAAGGTTCAGAAACATCACTAGTGAACATACTAGGTGTTACGTACCTGTTAAACTCGCGCGGTAACGCCTTAACTACCGCGAGGAAACGTGTGCGCGAGTCCGTGATTCCGTGCATGCAAAAATCGGCTTCTGCATAGCAGAACCAGGACTCGATATTGTCGGGCCAAAATGGCGTTAACTGAATCGAAATAGGGGGAATAGACTTGAACTTAAGAACCTTAGGAGAGTGTTCCGTCATAGTAATATAGATATCGAAAAATGTCTAATTAAAATATATCCGAGAAAAAAAAATTCGTGAAAAAAGTATATCACAATATATAAAATTCAAATAAAGAATAACAATGAATAATAATATTCCAAAATGGAACAGACTCACAGTATATTGACTTGGTGTACCAGATCACGTCGGGTTCACCAATGATGATGCAACGGATATTCTAGTTTTACAACTAGATACCAGTAGCACCTTCTAAATTCGGTTGTTACCAGTCAGATAGAAAATCAGAAGTCAAACGAGAAGAGGCAGGAAAGATATATTTGATTCGTTACCAATATATCGAGGACCTTTTCTATGAGCTGGCTAATGAAACGTAGGAGCTGTGTCCCACGCAGTATTGAAACGTGATCTGGTGCGGATGCATGACCGAAAGCCTTCAGCTAAACAAGTCCACTTAAACAACGTGGTCAGCATCCAATGTCGAACACTTAATGAGCTATTGATTTTGGGGAATTATTTACAGCTACAAGGCGTAAGATATTACAGAGACGTTCTGTACAGTATAAAATACCTGAGTTTAATAATGGGCTTGATGATAATCCTTATCTGAAACTTATTTTCAGCATTCTTCAGATCTTAATTTCCTCAGTGATAGGATGCGCATTATCTTTTAGGTTCAAATATATGCCTTGGGTATACTAAAGTTTATATTATTTCAAACCATATTTAGTGAAAACATGAGACATCCCCTGAAAGTAACTCCTTTCTGATGAACTTCGTTGATCCGAGAGTCCTTTACTTTTAAGAATTTGCAGCTTACAATGTCCCATAAAAAAATCTCACTCTTATGTGAGACGAATAATCGGAGGAGCATGCTGTAGACCCCTACCTTTTTAAGATGGTTTAAATGTGTTTAAGTAGGTTATATATATGACTTATGAGCATAAAAACACGATGTTATACTCGGTAAACGAGTCAAACGAAATATATTTAATTATCCATCTGGTCATTGGAGATTGAGGATTGAACATAAAGGTGGTATTTCGACTTGTCACCTTACTCAGCAATGTTTAGAAATCAATATGACCACGATGTTTCCATATGGAGTCCACAAGGACGAATTCATCAAATCGAATATGCTATGGAAGCTGTAAAGCAGGGCTCAGCTGCAGTCGCCTTGAAGAATCATGACTACGCCATAATTGTTGCCTTAAAGAGAGCACCATCCGAGCTCTCTTCCTACCAAGAAAAGATAATTCAAATAGATGATCATGTAGGGGTGGCAATTTCGGGTTTAACTGCTGATGGCCGGCTTCTTAGTCGTTCAATGCGTCGTGAGTGTGCGGATAGCAAATGGGCATATGATGAGCCACTCCCAATTTCACGTCTGCTTTCTAAAATAGCTCTCAAGATGCAAGTTCCTACTCAGAGATACGGTCGACGACCTTTCGGAGTTGGTATGCTAGTTACTGGTTGTGATGCCTTGGGACCACATGTTTACTACTTGGTAAGTTATACTTTAGAAGACTAAAAATATGGCATAAATACATTAATATAACGTGGTAGTCACTCCTCACAGCAACTTCTGTCGTCTCACAAGTAAATTCTGTGTCGAAAGTGTATTTCCTAGAAACGTAATATGTTCAACGTATTTTATTTAATATGTTCGTTTTTAATTTATTAATCCTCCGAGCCTGGAGTCGAAATAATTGACGTGAATTATTTTTTCCGAATTTTTTCAAGAGAACTTGTAAGAATTTGGATTCGTAGGTGTCTTTTCAAATATCTAAACCATAGGAACGTTCGATTTGTCCTAGGGTGTTCGTATCCTTCACTCGCAATCCATATAGTGATTTTAGTGAGACAATAATTTACGGACGACCTTTAAACGACACTAGGCTAACCTTGAGTGCCCATCTGATAACCAGGACCAAATGAGAGTTATAAACCTATGTGAGTCCTTGTAGCTGACTGTTAGGGTTAAGAATTAGATTTCGGGTTTTCATCACTAACTGACATAATCTATAATGCAAAAACTGTATTTATCCAAATGGATGAATTTCGCACGAAAATCCAAGACCTGTTATACGTGATTGGTTCGTCGACAAATTATAGTCTCACCGAAATATTTTGTAGACGGGGACGTTATCTTTAATTATTAGGTGTAGACTATTCTAGTCTTAAACTCATCTTCCATCCATCCATACTTTGTACCAGAGCTTATGATACCACCCGCTTAGATTTATCCACCCAACTTACGTTCTCCAAGTCATTTTAATTTTACTGCTTTGCCTAAAATTCGTTGGTGTATTGTTAAACATTGTCATTTGAGTTCACTACGATTACGTGTGATTCCTTTGTTGCTTAAGAAATAAGCAACTTATGACTTCCCGCCAGCATATATATATTGTTTTAACCCATGTATCATCTTGTTAATTTCTCACTGTGCTAACGTCAAGTTTGTTAACTTAAGCTGTTACCTGCATATCGCAGGTCCTGAGTTTTTGAATATCTTTTGCCTTCAAAAGTTTCGGTTTCATCATTTAGATGTGCAGTAGATTTCATCGTCTGGATGATATTACTGTTAAACTAGGACTTCATCTGAGTTGGGAGCAAATGAAATATCTTCTACTTCCAAGTATACGACTTTTTCGAAACAACAGACAAATATAGCTATTCAGTTCATCCCTCATTTCATACGCATGTCATATAAATCATTGAGTTTAATTCGTTCATGTAAAGTTCAAGCAGTTGGTATTTTCTCACAGCCTCAGATTTACATTCTTTTTCTCTTAACTTAAGTGTCCATCCTCAAACGCATACGATTGCAAATGCATAGCCATTGGTTCTCGCTCTCAGTCAGCTCGTACTTACTTGGAACGACATTTAAATGAATTTAAAGGTTCATCTTTGGACGATTTAATTTGTCATGGATTGAAAGCTTTAAACAGCACGTTGCCAAATGAAGTCAGTTTGAACATAAAGGTGAGTTTATTTTCATCAAAACCGATCCTATAAATGTATTTTGACATCAAACTCAGCCGAACCTACCTCATTTTGGGGAACTAGCTAGTGTTATTGACTTCGACAGAGTATGCTTTATGCCCAAGTACCCGGTGAATGAGTCTATTTATTTATTATATTCAAGTTTAGATACATTTGAGTAAGATATGTATGTGCTGTTAAATCCAAGAATCAGGTTACTGAAGGTTTTTATAACGTTCACTGCAAACTTTAATCGTATGTTGACCATTAAAAAAAAGCATAATGGTATGCTTTATAGTCTCACTAGATGATTTGTCAGTTGGAAGCTTATAGAAGACTGTTGCTGAACATTACTTTCTACTTATTTTTAGGTCAATGGTAGTGTGTAAAAAATTGTTGAAGCAATGATTTATGGTAAAACTTTAGTGTGTTGTAAAAGCTTTTCATCTACATAGAATATCCTCCAACATATTTCACCCCTGGTGGGGAGAGTCTACTCTCCCTCTCGAAATGCTCTCACATGGCCAGCGAATATATAGCCTCTGCCAGGGAAGTCCTACTCACTGCCTTCTCGTGCCACAGGTGTTGTTCACGAAAGTGAGAGGACGAAAAGCGAATGTCCGGCGCTATAACCGGATTGGTGGACACGGAGGGTCCACCTAGGGGAGTTGGAAAACCCTGATTCCAAACCAATGATGCACATGGGCTCCAGTATCCTGATGGAACGAATGGCGGAAGAACCTGTCATTGGTCAACGGCAACCATGGGACTGCATCTCCTCACGATGCTCCACTGCCTTGTGGATCAGACCTCTAGGTCAAAGGCTCGGGGTGTGGTTCCCTAAGAAAGCCACCTGCTTCGGTTTGGGCACCCGGGCAGTATCACAGCCCACACACAAATGAATGAAATGATGAACTCTATTGACGATAATATCCCTGCTCATACTAAAAGCAAGACAATTAACATTATTATTATTATTACCTTTATTATTATTATTATTATTATTATTATTATTATTATTTACCATATCGCTAACTCACCCCCTTTTATCCCCAATTTGTGTAACCTTACTTTTCAACTTATGCGGCAGCTCGCCCATGGTGGAAAATCTGTCCTATCTAAACGATCTCCAGTCACTGTCTGGTTGAAAGTGAATGCTTTCACCGATAATGAATACTGAAGCAGTCTTTCTGAAACCACGTACGCCGTTCAAGCTGGCTTCCTTCAACGTTCGCACACTAATGCATATCAGACAAAGATAGGGCTAGCTATGTCTTTGAAAGGTCTTAATGTTGATGTTTGTTGTCTATCCGAGACCCGTATTCAAGACTCTAGTGAAGTACTACAAATTCGCTCTCCATCTGTCGCCTCGAAAAGCTTGTTCCACGTGCGCTTATCCGGGGACCCTGTGGCATCTTTGTCTGGTCTTGCTGGCGTTGGTGTCGCACTAAGCGCTAGGGCTGAGGCAGCACTAATCGATTGGATCCCCATTAACAGTCGGTTATGTGCTGTTAGATTAGAAAGTTCCATCAAAGTGAGAAGAAATCGGCGTGAGAAACGGTGTCTTTTCATCATCTCCGCCGATGCCCCGACAGATTGCAGCCCGGATGCAATCAAGGATGAGTTTTACCATCAGTTAACAGTTCTTCTCCAGAAAGCGCGTTCGACATATATTGTGGTACTAGCCGGAGACTTGAATGCACAGGTTGGGCGTCTAGGCACAGAAGAGAGTCGTCTAGGTGGCCGATGGGGACTTGTTGGTCGCAGGACAGATAACGGGGACCGTTTGCTGCAACTGTGCACAGACCACAACCTGTTTCTGGCCAGCACTAACTTCCGGCACAGTCATCGCCGGTGTGCCACCTGGCGTCCTCCCTCTGCATCCCAAGCCTGGACTCAGATTGATCACATCGCGATCAGCTACCGCTGGCGTGGTTGTGTACAAGACTGCCGCTCCTTTTGGAGTACCTATCTGGAGTCTGATCATGCCCTGGTCTGCGCCAATCTCACCTTACTTTTCAGTGGCCGAAGGATTGACCACCACCAACGGATTGATATTAGTAAACTGGCTGCAACTTCTGTTACAAGTAATTATCGGGCGGAGCTAGCCTCTAGGCTAGCTACAACCCCACCGAAAAGTATAGATGAGCATTGGTTGCACCTTCACGACGCCATGAAAATGGCGAGTAAAGCCGCTTGCGGCTTCGCGAAACGTCCCGCTTACAAGCACTGGGTTTCTTCTGGCTCCTTACAACTGATGGAAGCCCGTCGGTCTACTCCGGGTGACCATGAGTTTGATCACAAACGAAGGCTGTTACGTAATGAAATCGGGCAAAGCTTGCGTAAGGACCGAGAAGCCTGGTGGTCGGAGCGTGCCAATGAGATGGAAGCAGCAGCTGCATCTGGTAATTGCCGGAAGCTCTTCCAACTCATCCGAGCCACTGGCAGCAAGAAGTCTGGTGTGGGTGAAACAATCTACGAGGATGACGGGATGTCAATCACTAACATCTGTCGACGTCTTGGACGATGGGCGGAATTTTTCGAAGGGCAGTTCAACTGGCCTGCTGCTCCGGCAACATCAACCAGTTTGTCCTGCCCCCCAATGGCCGGTGACGACTGATCCACCAAACGAGGCGGAAGTCCGCAAGGAACTCCAACTCTTGAAACGTTACAAATCACCTGGCCCAGATGACTTACCTCCGGCTCTTTTTAAAGATGGTGGTGACTTTCTGACTAAGGAATTGACTGTGTTGTTTGGAAAGGTTTGGGAGCAAGAAAGTGTTCCAACATCTTGGAATGAGTCAATAGTCGTCCCTATCTTTAAAAAGTGTTCACGTTGTTCCTGCAATAACTATCGGGGGATAAGTCTACTTTCGATTGCGTCCAAACTATTGGCTTCTATCATTCTTCGTAGGTTGTTTAAAACCCGAGAACGATTGACTCGCGAGGAGCAGGCTGGTTTTCGTTCTGGTCGAGGATGCATTGATCACATCTTCACCCTCCGCCAAATGTTAGAACACCGTCATACTTGTCGCAGGCCAACAATCGTAGTGTTTCTTGATATCAGGGCGGCCTTCGATTCTTTGGACAGGACTGTTCTCTGGGATTGTCTATTGAAGAAGGGTGTGCCTGAGAAGTTCATTAACATCTTAAAGGCCCTGTATACGAACACCTCAGGCAGAGTGAGGGCATACAACCACCTTTCTCCCTTGTTCCATTCGAGCAGTGGGGTTAGGCAGGGTTGCCCGATCTCCCCATTCCTCTTCAACTTTGCTATCGACGACATCCTGGAAACAGCTCTGGTGGATGTAAGTAATGGCGGTGTGGATATGTTGCCTGGAGAACGACTTCTCGACCTTGATTATGCGGATGATATTGTCTTACTGTGCGATAATGCCCAAGGCATGCAATCAGCACTTAATTAGTTGGCAATCAGTGTCCGCAGGTACGGCATGTGCTTTGCACCCTCCAAGTGCAAAGTACTCTTACAAGACTGGCAGGATTCTAATCCTGTACTCACCCTGGATGGTGAGGAGATCGAAGTAGTTGAGATGTTCGTGTATCAAGGTAGCTATATAAGTGCTGGTGGTGGCGTGAGTGATGAGATTGATGCACGTATAAGGAAAGCCAGAGCGGCTTATGCCAATCTGGGCCATCTTTGGCGCCTTCGTGATGTTAGTCTGGCTGTAAAAGGTCGGATCTACAACGCGTCGGTGAGAGCAGTTTTGCTCTATGCTTGTGGAACCTGACCTCTCCGAGTTGAGGATGTTAGACGTCTCTCTGTGTTCGATCATCGTTGTCTCCGAAGGATTGCTGACATCCAGTGGCAACACCATGTTAGTAATGCAGAGGTTCGGCATCGTGTGTTCGGGCACAGAGATGATAATTCAATTGGTGTCACCATCTTGAAACACCGACTTCGGTGGCTTGGACATGTTTTACGAATGTCGTCCCAGAGACTTCCACGTCGTGCATTATTTGCCGACCCTGGGACTGGTTGGAAAAAGCGGAGAGGAGGTCAGTGTATGACATGGTGTCGTGGCATGAAAGAGAGCTGCAAAGAGCTAGCTTCCGTTGGTCCTTCACGACTCCCTGGTTGGGGTCCGAGAGATGGTGCAATACAGTGGCTAGAGACGTTATCAGATATGGCTCAGAATAGAAGCCAGTGGCGATCCTGCTGCAACCTTCTTTTACTTTCCACATAAAGAATGGTTCTAACTTTCCTAACTGAAAGAGTCTTCTGGTTGTACATTTCAGTCCGTCTTATCTTTTCATCCATTCTCTTCCTACTTTCATTATTTTGTGTGGCGCATATGTACCTGGTGCCCTTTTGTACCAATATATATGTGTTTAAATAAATAATATGTGTACCACTGTATGAATTGTTTTGTTTGAGGCTTCCCATAGTTATTTTGTGTAATGTCGAACAGGAGTAAAGAACACACTTATGTTTACGGGATAGCAGCAATAACTCTAAAGAACTTCGATACCAGATAAAACGTCTCACTCCTACCCCCACCTCAAAAATAAATCTTGTAGGAGAAACCAAATAAGACTGGTTTACATCCACGTTTGTTCAACTATGTGTCGATCAAATTTCTGATTTCCGACTACAAATTTATCGTCTGAGCAATTATCTGTTGAGCATAAAATCAGTAAATTCATGCATACAATAAAAAAACCACTAAAAAATCAAAGATCTAATTTCAGACCGAAGGAATTAGTACATTAAGTTCCACTGAAAACCTACTTTACTATGCAAATTTAAAGACTGGTTTTATCATAAAGCGTTATATTTTAAGATTTAACATCTTCAATACAGACCCCCATCATTATATGAAACCTTAATATGTTTCCATCTTAACACCCCCTTAATTTATCATGTTCGTCACTGTCTGGTATTCTTAGGCTTGTTAACACATTTGTATCTGACTCTACGTTGACCATGATTGATTGTGTGGCTTGTAGGTCTTCATCAGTCAGTCATTCATTTCCGATCTCACCGATTTATCTCCTGTTTACTTGCACACAGCTTAGTTTCCTAAATTCATTATTGTCGGGATACATTTTTTAACCCGCTGATCTGACTCCGATTTAGATGGACGTATGAATATGCTATGAACATAAATCTTCCATTTAACTCCGTTCATTACCTAGGCTAACCCCGTTTGCGTGACGCGGTAATAAGAAGCCGAATACGGGTTGCGCTGTAGGGATTTATTTTAAGCATTCATTTATCCAGACAGAAGCGGTGAGTGAGGTAACTCATTTTGATCATGCGTGACCCGATATTTATAGTCAGACAAAAATAAGTTAAAGACGTGATAACTAGGACAAGCAATGTCCGCACATACACTCATCTAGTCAAAATTAATGATAAGGGAATAATTAACAAGATCAAAATATAACTCAAGAAGAGTAAATAGATTGATTGGTCTGTCTGAAAGCTAGAATAACTCGTATGGGCTTGACATTGTACTAGATACTACAGAGAGATTCATTGAATATGCTTCTACTTAAGTCATTCATGTTCAATTATTAAGT